TTTTTTTTTGTGAGACAGCCTCTAAATGTCAATAAGGCATGAGTAGAGCTATGCAGAGTTCTCTTGGGTTTAAAAGAATCTTGTGTGGGTTGCTTATGTTTGACTAATGTCAATGGGTAGTGGTGAGAAGGCCAAGTCATCGCACGTGGCTCATAAAAATCAATAAGAAAATAAGTTAGTATGTGCCTCATTTATTTTCTTGAGCAATTTGAAACATCAAACAGAAATTATTTAGTTTTAGGCAATCTAACTCTTTCATGTTGCAAAATTAATGATTAATTATTTTCTAAGTACTCTAAAAACAAGTATATTAGCTCACATCGAGGGTTTTGCTTAGAATTGTGGCTCGATATAAGAGTGTTTAATAGAAACATAACACTTTGAAAGATAAGACGGCATAATCTGTAAAAACATCTCAACATGGTGACATAGAAATCGATTTGTTCTTCTAAAGAGTATGATTAATTATGGGTTAGCTAGATTGATAAAAAATAGATATTGAAGGTACACTCGGGGCTCACTACTAGGACATGTCCAATATTGACTAAAAAATATATATTTTTAATATGATGTCAACAGTGTCAATTTTACAGTCAACATGAGGATAACTCAGAGATGGTGAACAACTCTAGATCAACTTGGAATAAGATATTGAAGAAATTGATAACTTACATTTTTCTAAAAAATTAGAAGAAACAAGTGTATGCTAGAGTTCAATGTTTTCGATAGGCCAAGAAGATTACTTGAATTGATATAAATTAGAATATGAAAAATAACATTAAACATAATGAGTACTCCCCATAGTATAATACTAATAAAGATGAGATATTATATTATTTGCACACTTGTTGAAAAGAAAATCACAAATGAACTTATTTTCCAATCATAGGGGTTTAAACAGTTGAAAGTGGGATGTGGATAACTTCACTCGATGATATTTGTCGTGATGAAAAAAGCTGAAGATTATGTGTCATTGAATAGTTTAAATTAATAATTTTATTTATGTTAGAAGGGTTCTAAGGACAAGAAAGACATTGGTTAATAATAATGAATACTGAGATTTGAGTCACTTTTCATTATGTGTCAGATGACAATCAATGAGGAATGTTTAAAATTGATGTGTCTCTGGGTGGTCAAACTAAATTATCCCTCTTATAAAGGAAATATTATCAAAATTGGGAAGGTTTACAAACTTTGATGCCTAAATTTAGTTATTTGATTTTATTACTTGTGAGAAAATTGTTGGTTGGATGATATTAGGCAATTGACTTGATTTTTCTTCTTATAAAGGGACAGGGGACAAATAGGCAGGCAATTGATACCTCGATGTTATGAAGCGCGTGTCAACCACACAAATATATATGTCACTCGAGTAATATATGAAATTGAGTTTGTGTATCGATCTCAACTTTAATTTCCAGGGCAGGTGAAAACATATAGCTTATTAATTCCAAGTCTAACTTGAAGAGTTAAAGTTTTGTGGATTTAAGTGACTAATCATAAATTTGCAAAATCATAAACTAGTTTGGAGAGAATTGTTTTCTAGCAGTTAAAACAAACTCCCTTAAATTAGACCTATAAAATGTAGGTTAATCCAAATGAACCAATAGTAGTTGAAAATCAATAAAATCTATACTCCTTAGCTTCTTCTAATTATATAAGAATTATTGGGATTTTATATTATAAATTATTTTCATAAATCATGCAAAAAACCCTAACATTTTCATATTTTTCTAAGCAATAACACTATTATAGCAGCAATATGCATATTCTTTCACAACAGAGTTTGTTAACCTAATTATCTTGCTAGACAGCATTTGTGATGCTAGATAACAACCCATTTTAGCATTTTAAGTGGTCATTTTAGAAGTAAAACAAGCATAAAATTTTGACAAATAAGACATAAAATATACACATAATTCATAGTATATAAACCAGAGTCATGTTTGATTGCTTCACAAAGTTCAACCTGATTATAACTCAACATTCGCACACAGTTATATTAGTAGAAAGAAAAGAGAATACTCTCCAAAATGGTTTTCATTTGATTGCTTCAAGTTTTTTCTCTTCTTCTTTGGTCATTCCCTACATCGTACTCTGTTTGTCCCCTCCTTGTCCCTCTTTTTCTTATGTCATGGCCAGAATGAGGGTTTTATAGGATGTGTTGTTCAAAATGGCTCAAAATTGTGTACAAATGTCAATCTGGGTGACTTGGTGCCCGGGTTCTTAAGGCTAACGTGGGTGTAATGGTCTTAGGCCCTAAAGCACTTAGAATCTAGCACTGCTTTTCATGATTCCACCGCCCATCTAGGCGAAAGATATAGTTTGCTAGTTCTAATTCATATAATGAAGGAAGCTACTGGTGATCAATCGTGTAATGAACCTGTTAATTTTCACAATAGGTGAAAGATATAATTTATTAGTTTTAAGTCTTGCTTGAAGAGTTAAAGTTTTTGTGAATTTTTAAAGTGACTAGTCATAATTTTGCAAGATCTTAAACTAATTTGGAGAGAAATGTTTTCTAGCATATGAAATATTCTCCCTTAAATCGGTCCCAATAAATATTGGCTAATCCAATCGAATCTAAAGTAGTTGACAATCAAGAACAACTCTACTCCTCGGCCTCTTCTGAGTTTATAAGAAATATTGAGATTTTGAATTACAATTTAGTTCCCTAAACCATGTAAAAACCTTCATATTTTGATATTTTTCTACGTGATGACACTATTATAGCAGCAATATTCATATTCTTAAGCAATAATATATGTTAACCCAATTATTTACCATCCTACTTTCATAATACTATATCACAGCTCAATTTAACACTTTAAGTGGCAATTTAGTAGGATAGTAGAATAATTAGGTTAGCGGGATAGTCAAATAAATGCACTTTTTAAATTTAAATTCTTATTGTCAACTACTGTAGGTTCATAAAACGTTGATATGTTGATTTAAATTTAATCCATAATTTTGTTGATATGTTGATATGTTAAAATTTTAAACTTAAATGCCTGGATCATAATTCGAGGGAAGATGCAACTTAGTAACTATACGTTATAAATGAAAACACAAACTCTTTCATTGCAAACAATAAATAAAATCTACACATAATTCAAGGTAGACAAACAAGAATAATGTTTGATTGCTTCGTAAAGTTCCTCCTTATTACAACTTAACACTCTTATGCACTTATGATAGCATAAAAAATGGAAAATAAGCTCTCAAACTGGTCTTCTTTTGATTGCTCCAAGTGTTTTCTTTCATCTCCCCATGTCACTTGTTGCATCATGCTCTACTCGTTTACTCCTCCCTCCTTTTTTTTCTTCCACACTTAGAAGGGATGAATATAGATTTTGTTGCTTGAAATGACTCAAATTTGTGCAGAACTATCAACCTGTGTGACTAGGCACCTAGACTCTGAGGGGATAGTGCATGTTAACTGGTCTTGGGCACAGGAGCTCTCATAATCCGGTGTCGCTTTTCATGATTTTGGCGCCCATATTGGTCATCATAAACAGGTGTGTTGGTCTTGATGGTGCGGGGGC